GCGGCGAGTTCGGTCGAGCAGCGGCGGCGCGTCTCGGCTCGCCGAGAGGCGGTGGCCACGTGTGAGCCCTGCCCTTCCGGCGGGCACGTCCCTCTACAGGAGGACTGTTCAGAAATAGGCAAAACATAGTCTGGGGGGCGATCGTTTTTTGTATTCGTGTCATCCAAAATCCGCCTGTAGGGGGACACGCCCGACCTAACCCTACCCCCCCCTCACGATTTCTAAGGGGGGGTGGAGGTTCATTTCGTTTGGGAGGTCCCGAGTGGAGTGACCCCCCCCCTTAGAAATCGTTGGCGGGGGTTGGGGTAGGGTTCACATGTGGCCACCTACATAGGCCTACTAGAGGATGTTCTAAGAACCTTGTGTGGCCTGCACGCGATGTTCTTAGAACAGTTCTGACCGAGGCCTTCTTGTTTTAAGACGTCGGGCTGCTGTTCCAAGAGCACTGCTCTCGTGATTCGAGCATGTTTGGGTTCTGAGAACATGTCGCGGTAGGCCCGTAGGCATGCCGGGACGGTCGGTCCCTGCTCAACCTGCAGCGAATTCGGGGGCGCGCGCGCGTGCGCGCGCGAGGCCCGGGGTCACAGCCGCCCGAGCCGCCAGAGCCCCGAAGAAGAAGAGGAGGGAGGAGAGGGAGAAGAGGAAGGAGAAGAAGAAACGGGCGCAAGCCTGGCCTGTCGGACGTCCGCACGGGGTACTTGGATCGGCGCTGGGCCCCCCTCCCTGGCGCGCGAGGGCGGTGCCAGGGAGGCGCCGCCAGAAGGGGGGGGCCCAGCGCAGACGCGCAGATCCGAGGAGTCCGCGCAGAGCTCCAGAAGCCTGTGCTTGTGCTGTTTTTTTGGTCGTCCCTCTGCGAGCCGCATGCCGGGGCTGGTGCACGGCGCGCTCGAGTCGTGGTCTTCGGTGTGGTTCCAGGCCTGCGGTTGCTCCCAGGCGACTGCCGTCGGCCAGGGCTGCGGGGCCCGCGAAGAGGCCGCATTCGTGGTGCGCCCGCTGGGCGAGGGCGCGCCGTGCGAGGCCTCGCGCGCCACGCACGAGGGGGCGCTGCTGCTGCGCGAGGGCCTCACGGAGGAGGCCGTGCGCGTGCTGCAGGGCGCGATGGCGCTGGTGCCGAGGATGAGAGGGAGAGAGAGAGAGAGAGAGAGAAAGGGCGCATCTCCCTTCTCTGTCATGTTCTTTGTCTTTTGTTTTCTCTCTTTCTCTCTCTCTCTCTCCTTCTTCTGGGTATCTTCGAGCGCGTGCAATTCAATCGTGCCGTCGGCGCGGTTGAGCCAGCCTGTTCGGATTGCTTGCTTCGCTGAGAGTGTGTGTGTGTGAGAGAGAACCAGAGAGAGAGAGAGAGAGAACCAGAGAGAGAGAGAGAGAGAGACAGAGAACAACAAAAAGAAATATGCGCCTCTCTGGTAGGGCCACAGCAGATCTGGTAGGCAGATCGCGCCGCACCGCCCATGCATGGCCGATGCGGCTCGATGTGGAGCCTGCCTTTCTCCACGCCGAAGTCCCCGATGCATTGCCGATGCAGTGGTGATACATCGGCGACGCGGCGTGATCCTTCTACCCCCTGTGCTGTGGCCCCATCTGGGAGGCCTCCAGCACGTCAGAGGTGCGTTGGCAGGGTGGTGAAGCCATCTACGGCGTACTCTTCCGGCGGCTCTGCTGTCCGCCAGGCGGCGCATTGGCCACGCTTGGTCAGTGGACGTCCTCGGACGAAGCAGAGTCAAGTCGGGCCTGTCCCTCTACAGGAGGGATATTCAAACATAGTCAAAAAGTACTCTGGGTACGAGTTTTGAGTATGTTTTACTATTTGGGAGTATGTTTGGTTATTTTTGAGCATTCGTCCAAAATCGGCCTGTAGGGGGACATGTCCGACCTAAAACCAGGGTGGAAACGCGAAGAACGAGTCTTTTTCTTGCAGGGCTCCAGCGGGCCACCAAAGAAGCCACAACCTGCCCGGACGCACCCACGGGTGCCGAGGAAGGAGGAAGGCAGACACGGCAGAGGCACACAGTGGATGCCCATGCTAAGAAACACCCTGCTTGCTTCCAGGGTGCCCTGGGTTTCTTGGGCTTCGATGGTTCTGCCATGGAAAGCGTGACGTGCCCATACCACAGATCAATGTTCGTCCGGGGGTCTCAGGGCTGGGTCTCTTGGGGAAGGTTTCCTGTGGACTTGGCCTCCGCTGTAAGCTGTTAGAGCCCGCGCTGATGTCTCGGAGAGCGGCGCGCGCACCAGGGAGCGGCAGCGGAGGCGTCGCCAGGCCAGGTGGTCCAGCGCCGACTCAAGAAGCCCGCGCGGAGCTCCTACGATGGGCACATGTTCCACCACCGCTACCATGGGTAGGAGAGGGAGGAGGAGGAGCAGGAGGAGGAGGAGGAGGACCTCCTCATCCCCCCTTCTCTCCCGTCCCTGCACATGGTAGTGGTTGTGGAAACTGTGCCATCATCCTAAACTCTACGCCGTTGCTGTTTTTCCGCAAGAGGAGCCCCGAGGCCTGCAGCAACCTCGGATGCGCGTGCGAGGCCAACGGGGACGTCGGCTCCGCCCTCTTCTGGTACAAGGAGGCCCTGGGCCTGAGCCCCCACGACGAGGCGGTGGTGCTGGCGCTGGCGATCCTGCAGCAGGAGCGGGGCGACCACGACGAGGCCCGCAGGCTGCTGCGGCAATACCTGCAGGAGACGTGCCAGACCTGCGAGCAGGCCTTCGACAAGTGCGACCAGTGGCCCGCGTCGGTCAGACCCCTGCTGCGCTCTCTGCAGAGGGAGCTGGCGAAGCAGGAGTGGTGGGCCGCGGCGTCTGCGCCCGACCGCCCGCCCTCGCTCGCGCTGGAACAGGTGCGCGGCGCCTCCGACGAGGCGCGGCGCGAGGTGGTCCTGTGCGAGGCGCGGGCGGACCCCGAGGCGGTCGAGCTCGACCCCGTGGTGCCCTCCGCGCCGAGCCCGCCGCACCAGAGGCCCCTGGCGGCGGGCGGCGAGTACGAGGCCGCCGAGGCCTGCCACGCCGCAGGCGGGAGAGCTCGCTCGCCGCCCGCGGCGCGCGCCGCCGCCGTGCCGCCGCGGGAGCGCGAGCCGTCGGCCGGCAGCCCGCCGCCGCGGCTGCGCGCCGCGCCCGCGCCGCCGCCGCACCCGTTGCTGGAGGCCCGGCGGCTGCTGGAGGGGGGCAGCCCAGCCGCGGCCGGGAGCATCTTCGAGGGCATCCTGCAGGTGGAGCCCGACAGCGCGGAGGCCCTGCTGGGCCTCGTGGACTGCCAGGAGGCCCTGGGCGGCGCGGACGCGGCCCTGGAGACGGGCATGCGGCTGCTGGAGCTGCAGCCGGAGAGCGGGGAGGCCAACCTGCGGGTCGCGGAGTTGCTGCTGGCGGCCGGCCACGGGGCGGCCATGGCGGCCCCCTACCTGAAGCAGGTGGACGCTTCGCTCCGCGAGGCCGGCGAGGTGGCCGGCTTCTCCGACGAGAGGTCGCTGAAGTTCCGCGCATGCTGCGCCGCCGCGGAGGTTGCCATGGCGGACGAGGAGCACGCCGCAGCGCTCGCGGCCGCGCAGGAGGCCGTCCGGCTGGATGCCTCTGCGCCGAGGGGCCTAGTCTTGCTCGGCAGGGCGCGCCTCCATGTCGCGGACTATTCGGCCGCGCTGCGCGCATTTGCGGCAGCGCTTGCCGCGGCTGCCGACGCGGGCGATCGCCGTTGCCAAGCCACGGTGCACGCGCTGACGGCGCAGGCGAGGGAGAGGCTGCGACAGCACGCCGAGGCGCTGGAGGAGGCGCGCAGTGCACTCGCTGTGGAGCCAGGCCACGTGCTGGCGCGCGTGGTGCTCGCCACCGTGCTGCAGCAGTCTGGCAGCCTGCAGGAGGCGGAGCGGGAATTGCAGCAGGCCCTGGACTGCCACCCGTGCGACCCGGGGGCGCAGCTGCAGCTGGGCTACTGCCAGCTGCTGGGCGGCAGGGCCGAGGCGATCTCCACGCTCGAGGAGCTGCTGCGGCGCGAAGGCGCGCCGCGGAGCGTCCTCGGGGCCGCCAGGGTCTACCTCGCCCTGGCCCTGGACGCGCACCAGCCGCCCGGCCACGAGCGGAGCGTGGAGGCGCTGCTGGGGGAGGCGCTGGGGCTCCACCGCAACTTGGCGCGCGTCTGGCGCGACGCCGAGGCGGGGGACGCCGACCAGGCGGCCGCGGCCGTGCAGCGCCTGCGGGGCATCTGCGACCTCGACCTCAACACGCTCCAGGCGCGGCAGCTGCTGCGGCTGCTGGCGCTCCGAGCCGGGCGCGCCGACCTCGCGCGCGCGCTCGCGGCGGCGCACGCCCAGCAGGCGAGGGGCGCCGCGCACGGCGCCAGGCTTCGGGGGCGGAGGCTCCAAACCTGCTCGCGGCGTGACGCACTTCACGACGGGAAGCTTCGGGCCGTTTTCGGCCTCTGGGGGCCTTCGCCGGGCCTCGGGACCATCCGAAAATGGTGTGGGCTAAAAAACTGACCTTTGGGGACAGGGTTGGAGGACTTCCGGGGGCCGCGCACTGAAAAAGTCAAGACGTCGCATGGTTGGGAAAGGTACCGATACCACCAACCGTGCCTTAGGTCGGGCATGTCCTCTTAGAGGCGGATTTTGGAAGACTAGCTAATAAAAAGTAGTCACAATAATTCCAATCATAGTTTAGAATAATAGAAGAATCGTCCCCAGACTGTTTTTGACTATTTTTGAATTCTCCTCCTGTAGAGGGACATGCCCGACTCAACTCTTGCCTCGTGCTCGCCGTTCTGGCTGGGTCTCCCACGGCGGGCTGCGGCCTGCCCGATGGGGTCCGAGTATAGATCGAGTCGGAGGATCGCGCCGCCGGTGATGCGGCTCGATGCTGATGCTGATGATGATGATGAGGAGGAGGAGGAGGAGGAGGAGCAGGAGGAGGAGGAGCAGGAGGAGGAGCAGGAGGAGAAGAAGGAGGAGGAGGAGGAGGAGGAGGAGAAGGGGGAGGGGGAGGCGGAGGAGGAGGAGGAGGCGGAGGAGGAGGAGGAGGAAGAGGATGCGGAGGAGGAAGACCAGGAGGAGGAGGCGGAGGAGGAGGAGGAGGTTCTCGAGGCCGGGAAATTGTGGAGTCGCCGTGGGTCCCAGAGGAGTTTTTACGATCTTTCAGGCTGCTCCTCATCATTACCCTTAACCATTACCATTACCATTGCCACTACCACTACAACTACAACTACCACTACCACTAGCATTACCATTACCTTTAGCATTCCCATTCCCATTACCATTGCCAGTGCCAGTACCAGTGCAATTGCCATTGCCAGTCCATTCCCAATACCATTACCATTACCTTTACCTTTACCTTTACCCTTACCCTTACAATTCCCATTTCCGTTACCACTACCACTACCATTTCCATTCCCATTCCCGTCACCATTCCCATCCCCATTCACATTACCATTACCATTACCTTCACATTTTCTTTCACCTTTTCCATTACCATTACCATGGCCATTACAATTGCCATTGCCAATGCCATTCTCATTACCATTACCGTTGCCATTGCCATTGTATTGCCATTGCCAGTCGCTACTCCGTTACCATTACCATTACCGTTACAATTGCCATGGCCATTGCCGTTGGCATTGCCATTACCATTGCCATTGCCATTACCATTACCATTACCGTTGCCATTGCCATTGTCATTGCCATCTCCAGTCGCTACCCCGTTACCAGTGCCATTACCATGACCATTACCGTTACCGTCACCAACACCATGACCAGTACCATTACCATTGTCATTACCATGACCATTACCATTGCTGTTGCCATTGCCATTAGCCACCACCATTGCCATTCCCATTCCCATTCCCAATACCATTACCATTACCATTACCATTTCCATTACCATTACCACTGCCATTGCCATTACCATTACCATTCCCATTACCTTTACCCTTACCCTTTACCTTTGACCTTATGGTCACGGCAATGGCAATGGCAATTGCGATTCCCATTTCCGTTACCACTACCACTACCATTTCCATTCCCGTTGCCGTTCCCATTCCCATTCACATTCCCATTCCCATTCCCATTCCCATTCACATTACCATTACCATTACCACTACAATTACCATTGCCATGGCCATTACCATTGCCATTGCCATTGCCAATCCCATTGCCATTGCCATTCCCATTACCGTTGCCATTGTCATTGTCATTGCCATTGCCAGTCGCTACCCCGTTACCATTACCGTTACCATTACCATTACCATTACCAGTACCATTACTTCTGTCATTACCCTTGCCATTACCATTGCCATTGCCCTTAGCCACTACCATTACCATTGCCATTACCATTACCATTACCATTACCATTTCCATTGCCATTACCATTACCATTACCATTACCATTACCGCTGCCATTACCATTACAATTCCCATTCCCATTCTCATCACCATTGCCATTACCGTTACGGTTACCAGTACCATTACCATTACCATTGCCATTACCATTACCACTACCACTACCTTTTTCATTCCCGAACCCATTCCCATTTCCATTCCCATTGCCATTGCCATTACAATTACCATTACCATTACCATTACCTTTACCATTACCATTACCATTACCATTGCCATGGCCATTACCATTGTCATTGCCATTGTCATTGCCATTGCCATTGCCATTGCCATTGCCATTGCCATTGCCATTGCCATTACCATTACCATTGCCGTTGCCATTGCCATTGTCATTGCCATTGCCAGTCGCTACCCCGTTACCATTACCGTTACCATTACCAGTACCAGTACCGTTACCATTACCATTGTCATTACCAATACCATTACCATTGCCATTGCCATTGCCATTGCCATTCGAGGTTTCCAGTAGGAAGCATTCAGTGGAGGGTTTCAGTAGGAATCCACACGTGGAGGATTTCAGTAGGAATCATTCAGTGGAGGGTTTCGATAGGAATCCTTCTGTCGAGGATTCCACTATGAATCCTTATTGTGGGGGGCGTTCAATAGGAAGCCTTCTAGGGGGGAGGGCAGATGAGGCCACGTCGCATTCTTTTTTTTGTCGCCGCCGACCCCCCCCCAAAAAAATAACAAAACAATCCGAGAATCTCAATTCCGATGCTTTGTTTTTTTCCTTTTTTGGGGGGGGGACACCAGGAGAAAAACAACAGAGAGGGAGGAGGAGGAGGAGGAGGAGGAGGAGGAGGAGGCGGAGGTGAAACCTTATTGTGGGGGCGTTCAATAGGAATCCTTCTAGGGGGGAGGGCAGATGAGGCCACGTCGCATTCTTTTTTTTCCGTCGCCGACCCCCCCACCCAAAAAAAGAAGAAGACAAAGCAAACAAATCAGCGAATCTCAATTCCGATGTATTTATTTGTTTATTTTGTTTGGGGGGGGAGACACCAGGAGGAACAAAAAACAAAGAGGGAGGATGAGGAGGAGAGGGAGGAGAGGGACGAGGAGGAAGAGGAGGAGGAGGAGGAGGAGGAGGAGGAGGAGGAGGAGGAGGAGAGGAGGAAGGAGCAGGAGTCCCGACTCAGATCAGCGCGAAAGCCTCCGCGCGCGCCCTCGACCCCCTGGGCGACTCCACAATTTCCCGTTCTCGAGGAGGAGGAGGAGGAGGAAGAGGAGGAGGAGAGGAGGGAAGGAGGGAGGAGGAGGAGGAGGGTCCGGAGGAAAGGAGGAGGAGGAGGACGCGCAGTAGGAGAGGAGCAGGAGGATGCGGAAGCCAGGCAGTAGGAGGAGTAGGAGGAGGAGGCGGAGGAGGAGGAGGAGGAGGAGGAGGAGGAAGGCGGGGAGGAGAGGAGGAGGATGAGGAGGAAGGAGAGGAGGAGGAGAGAGGAGGAGAATACGGAGCATGGGAGAGGGAGGGGCGGAGTGGAGGAGTCGGAGGAGAGGGAGAGCTGGAGGAGGATGAGGACCAGAGGAGGGAGGCGGGGAGGAGGACGAGGAGGAGGACGAGGAGGAGGAGGATGAGGAGTAGGAAGAACGAGAGGAGGAGGATAACCGGGAGGAGGAGGAGGCGAGGAGGAGGATGAGGAGGAGGGGACGGGAGGATGAAGAGGAGTAAGAGTGAGGAGGCGAATGCCGAGGAGGCAAGACCATGATGATGAAAATGAATGAGAGGAGGGGAGGAGGAGGAGGAGGTAGGAGGAGGAGCAGCCGCCGCAAGCAGGCGGAGCGCAGGAGGAGCAGGGGGAGGTGGTAGGCGGGAGGCGGAGGAGGGCTGAAGCTGGACTGAGAGGAGGAGGAGGAGTAGGAAGACAGAGGAGAAGACCAGGAGGAGGAAGACCAGGAGGAGGAGGAAGGAGGGTGGGAGGAGGAGGAGGAGGAGGAGGAGGAGGCAGGCGCGGAGGCGAGGAGGAGGAGAGGCGAGGAGGCGGGGTAGGAAAGGACGGAGGAGGAGGCGGCGGCGGCGAGGAGGAGGAGGAGGAGGAGGAGGAAGACCACGAGGAGGAATACCAGGAGGAGGAGGAGGAAGACCAGGAGGAGGAGGAAGACCAGGAGGAGGAGGAGGAGGAGGAGGAGGAGGAGGAGGAGGGAGCTAGATTTTCCCCACGCCGACGGTGCCGAGGCATCGCCGATGCGTCGCCGAGGCATCGCCGATGCATCGGTGAGGCGTCGGCGATGCGGCGCGGCGAGCCCTGCGGCCCGCACTGCTCTGTGCCAGGACACGGGAGGCCCCTGCGGCACCGGCTTGAGCCGAGTGTTCTGGCGATTTCGCGGACTGTTTTCTCGTTTTGATTTGGTTGCGCAACGAAGGCAGAACGACGACAGAACGAAAACAAAATTATCCCAGTGCGACCCTACCTAGGAGTTGGAGCATTCAGGAAAGCAACAGCTAAGCTAAGCTAAGCTAAGCTAAGATGGGGTAAGCTAAGCTAAGCTAAGCTAAGCTAAGCTAAGCTAAGCGAAGCGAAGCGAAGCTAAGCTAAGCTAAGCGAAGCGAAGCTAAGCTAAGCTAAGCTAAGCTAAGCTGGGCTAGGCAAAGCTAAGCTAAGCTAAGCTGAGCTGAGCTAAGCTAAGCTAAGCTAGGCTAGGCTAGGCAAAGCTAAGCTAAGCTAAGCTAAGCTAAGCTAAGCTAAGCTAAGCTAAGCTAAGCTAAGCTAAGTTAAGATGGGGTAAGCTAAGCTAAGCTAAGCTAAGCTAAGCTAAGCTAAGCTAAGCTAAGCTAAGCTAAGCGAAGCGAAGCGAAGCTAAGCTAAGCGAAGCGAAGCGAAGCTAAGCTAAGCTAAGCTAAGCTAAGCTAAGCTGGGCTAGGCAAAGCTAAGCTAAGCTAAGCTGAGCTGAGCTAAGCTAAGCTAAGCTAGGCTAGGCTAGCAAAGCTAAGCTAAGCTAAGCTAAGCTAAGCTAAGCTAAGCTAAGCTAAGCTAAGCTAAGCTAAGCTAAGCTAAGCTAAGCTAAGCGAAGCTAAGCTAAGCTAAAGCTAAGCGAAGCGAAGCTAAGCTAAGCTTAGCTAAGCTAAGCTGGGTGAACCCAGGGGGCGCAACTGGGGGAACCAGGGGGGCGCAACCGGGGGAACCGCCCGGGGTGAGTTACACTACCCGCCCCCTTTAGCCAAGAAAGTAAGAACCCTTCTAGGCAGAGCCTAGGTAGGGAACGAAAACAAAAGCATTGTGTAGCTCGAGCGCTGCCCCGAGGTCCCGCTGCCCGTCGTCGAACCCGCCGAGCCGCTGGTCGTGCCCGGAGGGCCCCCTCCTGAGCCTGGCCGCCTCTGGCGCCTCGACGCCGCTGCTGGCCGGGCGCGGCAGCGATGGGCGGCCTGACCGACCCCACGCCACAGCTTCCCGTGGCGTCCCCTTTCGCCTCTCGCGCCCAAGATGTGTGTGTGTGTGTGTGTGTGAATGTTTGTGTGTCGGAGGTTGATAGACCTCCTACCCTGACACGTCGATCAAGGAATTGGCCGTTTTCGGTTCGCGAAAGGGCGTCGGTGTGTGTGTGTGTGCTTCCGGAAGGGGGCCTGGGGGGCCGTGGGTGACGTCACGGGAGGTGCTCGTCTCGAAGAGGAAAAAACGCCATAAACAAATATTGGTGGCGCTCCGCGCGGATTTCTGGGATCCGCGCTGGGCCCCCCGTCGGCGCCTCCGGCGCCGCCCCTGGCGCGCTCCGCGCTCCAGGGAGGCGGGGCCAGCGCAGATATCCAAGACATCCACGCGGAGCGCCAAGAGTTATGCTTCAGTATGCGGTTTTTTCTTCTTCTTCTTCTTCTTCTTCTTCTTCTTCTTCTTCTTCTATCGTCACGCAAATAGACGAACAGCGAATCACATAAGCATAAGTTTGTGGATGCCCGCGCGGATCTCTCGGATCGGCGCCGGCACCCCCCTCTCTGGCGCGCGAAGCCGCGGGGGCTCTGGCGCCGATCCGAGAAATCCGCGTGGAGTTTCGTGCCCCGAGGGGTCGGTGAGGCCGCGCCCGAGGCAGCCCCGTGCCCACGGGAGGGCCGCCCACCCCGCAGGTCCGCCACCAAAAATGGGCACGGGCACCCTCCTGTGGAAGTTGTTGCTGGGCCTATAGGGGAGGGTGCTGGCGTATAGATCGCCACTGGGAGCCAGCAACGTTACACACCGCCACCTTCCAGAAGGTACATGCAAAGCTCCTCGGAGGGTGTCTGTGTTTATTATTTACAAGTATGCATGCATCCATCCACACATACATGCATACATACATACACACATACATAACTTACATACATACATGCACGCATACATTCATATATACACATGCAGACACAAATGCATACAGACAGACAGTCAGATAGGCAGACAGACAGACATACATGCTTGCTTGCTTGCATACATACACATACATGCATGGATACATGCATGCATGCATGCAGGCAGGCAGGCAGGCAGGCAGGCAGGCAGGCATACCTACCTACCTACCTACCTACCTACCTACCTACCTACCTACCTACCTACCTACCTACCTACCTACACATGCATGCATGCATACAGACATACATACATACAACGGACCCTGCGGACCCTCCCCACCCGAAACGGACCCCCTCGGGATCCGGGTCCCGCGAGATTTCCTGGCCTCTTGAATTCCCTGCCAAGCCGTGCAAATGTGCAGGTGTCGGTCCCAAACGAACCCCAAAGACGGTCCAAGAAGGCCTCCAGCGGCCCCGGACCTTGCCAGGCGCCCGAGACGGCTCAAATGTCACCCCGAAGGGATTCTCGAAACGCAGAAAAGGTTGATTTTCCATTGTGTTTGTATGATTTTGGGCTACTCGGTTCGTTTTTTTCGGCGTCCGAGAACGCCCGAGAGGCATCGAAAGCCACTCCAAGACGAGCAAAAAAGGGTTCCTGACAGTCCAAAATAGCACCAAGACGCCTTCAGGAAGCAGCCAAATTGTGTCCTCTATAAGCTCGCCTCGGAGGAGCCTCCGCAAGCAAATCTGAGGAGGACGGGCAAGACCTCGCAGGGCAATGAAGGCAAGGAGAAAGAGGAAGAGGAAGAGGACACATGAGGGAAGGAGAAGGAGCAACAGTATGATGACGGCGACGGCGAAAACTGCAACCAACAGCGATAGCTGCTTTGGTTGATCCACCCCTCTCTCATTCTGCCTGCATGTCAAACGAGAAGGGCCAAGGCGCACGTCGCGTAGCGCCAACATCGCCCCCGTGACTCATCCCTCAACCCCCCAACCCCCCGGCCGGATTTCTTTTCTTCTTTCCGAGGGGGGTCAACCTTCGCGGCGACCCGTTTAAACCCGGGACCCCTGGCGGCGCATGGATTTCTTTCCTTCTTCCCCGCGCGCGTTGCCGTTGGAACCCCTGAACCCCAATATATTGGGTTTCCAATATACTGGGTTTCCGATATATTGGGTTTCCAATATACTGGGTTTCCAATATAATGGGTTTCAAATGTATTGGGTTTCCAATGTATTAGGTTTCCGATAGATTGGGTTTCCAATGTATTGGGTTCCTAATATATTGGGTTCCCAATATTTTGGGTTTCCAATATATCGGGTTTCTAATATATTGGGTTTCGAATATATTGGGTTTCCTATATAGTGGGTTTCCAGTATATTGAGTTTCCAATATATTGCGTTTCCAATATACTGGGTTCCCAATCTATAAGCCCGAACCCGAACCCAAACCTCACCGGCTGTAATTCAGTTGTTCCCGTACTACTACAAATCCCTAGTGCAACCGCGATTAAGGTGTTGTTGCATTGCACTTACAGTCTCGGCTCTCACGCTTTTCTTCCTCTGGTTGCGCTTGGGGGGGTGGGACCCCTCGCGCGGGCACCCCCGCGGCTGGGAGTTCATTCCTCTTCCGGAATTTGAGGGGGGGGTAACCCCCGTGCTCGAACCCCATCGCCAGGGTTTTTTTCTTTCCTCCGCGGAAACCGGACCCCCTGGGTTCTTCGGCGCGCCCCATTTTTTTTTCTTTCCGGTTGGGCCTCCATGGGTCTTAGGTTGGAGTCACCCGGGTGATGCGCCAACGCAGTCTTGTATGAGTATGTATTCATGTCTTGATATATACGCATAATAATACATAGACAGCAGCATATACGTATAACTTTATATCGCGATGTAAACATATATAATTATATGATATATATATATATAGATTCAGATGCTTATATCCATGTGGTTTCACATCTGTTTACACATACATCTACAGCTACACATACATTTACATATGAGTATACATGCTCATATACACACATGTATACATGCATACACATACATGTACGTGTACATAATACACATGCACACAAACATTAGTACATATACATTAGCACACACATAGTAACATAACCATACAAGTGCATACGCTTATACATACACATGTACATGCACACCCACATCTACATACACATATACATGAACATGTGTGTACACCTACATTTGCATACACCTATACACATACACACGTAACACACAACAATAGATATATATATATATATAATAATAATATAATATATTATATATATATCTCCGCGCAAGAGGCCCGGGCGCCCAGTGCCATGACCTTGAGCGCGCATGGGGGGACCAGTCCTCCGAGACCGCTCCCAGAGCACCCCGGAGGGGCCGTGGAGCCCCCCGATTGCCCCAGAGAGATCCCAGACGCTCCGAGAAGCCCCGGGGGATTTCGACAAGACCCTCCAAGACAGCCCAGATAGCCCCAACGTGGCCCAAGATGGGCTCCAGACCGCAAATGCACAGCCCAAGAGGCCTCCAAGAGGCCTCAAGAGACCTCCGAGAAGCGTCCCGAGAGAGCGCGAAGAGGCCCAAATCCTTGATTTCCATTGGTTTTTCTATGTTTTTCGGTGTCTCGCGTTTTCGACCTTCCGACGCTTCACGACAGCCGACGACGCCCCCAAGACCGCCCCAAGACCGCCGAAGAGGCCCCCAACAGAGCCCCAAGACGGCCCCTGGGAGCCCGAACATGTCCCGGGATGAGCCTCAGACGGCCCAAGAGAGCCCCAGGACAGGCCCAAGCTGGGCCCCAGAGCGGGAGCGGGAGGCCCCAAGGCGCTCCAAGACAGCCTTGATGGCCCCAACGTGGCCCCAGATGGGCCCAATACTGCCAATACACAGCCCAAGAGCCCTCCAAGAGGCCCCCAGAAGCGCTCCGAGAGACGTCCCGAAAGAGCCCGAATAGGCCCATATCCTTGAGTTTCGTTGTTTTTCAACATGTT